TAAGGGTTTCGTAGTCGAAGTACGAAACCAAAAAGGGTTTCATACGAAACTTAAAACGGTTTAGAAATGGTTGCACTTCTCTATACCCTTTTAAGTTTCGTAATAAACCTTTTTTTTTAGAGAGTAGGCTGAAAAAGAAAAGTGTTTTCTTCAAATTGAGACGTCAATCAGATTTTTACGACTTTTTATTTGGGAAATATACGCTTTGTTCTGTAAGAGACGACGTCTGTTATAAAATTTTCTAAAAATTATGTTTTTTAGAAAAGAGCGTCCGAAAACATAATAAAGAACCAGACGTTGGACAAAAGTTTGTATTCGTGCACTTTTCTTCAATTAGTTAAACAGACACTAAAACGATTAAAGTTCGAGAATAAAATTGCATTCCTAAGATGGTTTTGTGATAACTTCTAACAATTTGGAATGTCATTTATGTATGAAATCGAATGTGACTCTTTGTCAATTATGAGTTTGTGATTAAAATTGCTACGATTTCCTTGAAATCATGACACCAGTGGTTTTTCCGTTACATGTCCTTGTAGTGATGATGACAGACCCGGTACAAACAATTATTGACCCATATACAACGAAGTATTCATTCTGATATACTGAATTCTAAAAACTTTATAAATTTTTCAGTTTTCATTTGTGTCTAATAACGCTACTCGAGCTACTCGTTACCTAAAATTTCTCGAAAAAAAAAGAAACATTTTTATAGGTAGTTTGATGTGGAGAATCAGAATTTGGCACATCATTTTTAAAGAGCTGGTTTAAATTTCTCCATGCCTGTATTACCTCTTAGAAAAAGTTGAAAAACTTTTTTATTTTATTTTTCTAAAAACATGTGTAGTTTATCATGCTGATTCTGAATGTCACGTCGGTGTTTTTATAAAGATGTTATTCTAATAGGCATAGGACAAGTATTGCACTGAATTTTTTCAGTGAAGTTTGTGAAGTTAGATAATTTTTTCTGATGTTAATCGTTCGACTTCTAAATCGATTATATTCTCTTTTTCTCGTTTCTAATAAATCCTATGAACAATTATTTTTAAATGATTAGTGATCATAACCGGTTATCAGAATAGAACTTGTCGGACGTTCTTCAATGTGTTCAGTCAAATTGATACTATTTCTTACTATAAACTGTTGGAAATTTGATACTCTCGTCGACCATTACATGTTTCTTTTGTTCATGATTATTTGATGATACGTTTGAGATTAATGAATAATGTGTTTTGGGTCATGAAAAAATAGTCCAAAGTGTGTTTCAATAAAGATAATAAATTATTTTAAAAAAATATGAGAAAATATGTAGCACAGATTAAAAAAAATGTTTATACAATAATGGAACGGTGAAAACAGCCACAATCGAAGTTAAAAATGATGCTATAATGTTCACCTGATTATTTGACAAAATATTTCTTCCTGATATTTTTTGAACATTTGCTCCTCCTGGTCTAAGTACTGAACATTTTCGTTCATTATCATACCCGCTGTATTGTAACGTAGCTCCAAGAAGTGAGTCAATCATTGAACCTAATAAACCAAATACGGCACATAATGGAATAATTGGCCATTGTGGTTCTATATGATCAGCATACTGTCTCATATCACAAAATACTAAATTTCCAAGATAAAAACTCAGTCCAACAATAAAACCACCAAATATACTAGCTAAAGTTCCTTCTAATGAGATTCCGCCGTTTGTTCCAGCCGGTACACGTCTGAATAAATTTGTGATTAGTCTGGGATTTGTCCGACATAAAACTGTGCCCAATTCCGATGCCAATGTATCACCACAACAACAGGCAATACTAAATAGAAGTCCAATAGAATAAATTGATGGCCAATAATAGTTGTGAAAATCAATTGGTAATGTTTTTCCACTTAAATTTGTTTCATAACAATAGAACAATGAATATAAAAAAGCTATCGAACCATTACACAACACTTGAATATAATTTCGTGCAACTTTTTTTGTTTTCGTCGTTTGATCTTTTCCTCCCTCACTAATCTTTAGTCTTTTAATATCACTTTTATATTTTGTTGCATAAGATCCACTTAACGTGAATGCTAACATAACAAACATAAAACTGATATTTGAATAAGTTATGATTAAACATAGAAGGAAACCCGTTACAACACCATCAAGTGTAAATGAACCGCGACGATATTCTACTAATGAAATAAATAACACTAAAAGAACTGAACGAATTAATTTGAATAAAGTCAACATTTACGACTGATCTCGGACCGTGAATATTTATCTGAAATATAAAGTTTCTCAGAAATAAAAGGGCTAATGAGTAAAACGGTCAGCCCATCTATTGCAAGACTCCTTATCTCTACAAACTAACGAATTTAAGATGAAAATAATTCTAATATTATTTAAAACAACAAATACTGGGTAACAGACAACGAAAAAAAAATAAAAGCTACGATCTAATGCGGCTGAAGATTTATATATGATTACTACTTGAACTGGGAAATTTAAAAATACTTTTTGCTGTGAATAGTAAGGCAGCGGATTGAACTATCTGTTGAACTGCATCAAATTGTTAAACTAACTCACTTTTCGCTTAAAACTTCATAATTATCTTTATCCACATTACAAATGGTCTTGGTTTATGAATGTCGAGCGGAAATACGAGTTATTCTTCTTTCTTCCATCTATTTCATAACTAACAGGACAGGAGTCGTTTTATTTTTTTGAGATTTCTCTTCTTTCGGTATGATATCAACTAATATTATAAAGACGAGCGATAACACACACTCTATAGCATTGCTGAATACAGTATGTGAACATCAGCATGTGTATGATTATACACTAAGCGTTGTGGAGTGGTAAGCAGCCATGAGAGTGAGCTACTCAGATAATTTAATCGCCATCAACAACAAATTGTCCAATGGACTCAGCAAATTCTCTGGGAGTGGTCCATTAGCAGCACGACCATTGTCAACAAACATTTTATTGCTGCTAATTTATATTTCCTCGTCGTCAATTGTTACAAACAGCTTGAGCGTTCCTTCGTTTCTACTATCACACCATTTGTTCTTCGGTCACCTCCGCGAGCACTGATTTCACGCTCTTATTCACCGACGTCAAACGATATCCATTCATTATGATATTCAATCACAAAAACAAAGCTACAATGAGTGCTGCTTAAGTTAGTCCACGCAAAATTTCATGTAGAAATAACGTCTCTCTTTACAGCTCTTTATATATTTTTCTGATGATGAACTTAGACGGTTCGAGTCCTTAAAAATGAAGATAAAAAGTATTAATTATTTTATATAGTGTGTACTACTCACTGTACAGAATCGCCTTTAACAATACGAAAACAATATGTATTTTTACCGATTTTTCCTCGATTCAAGTCCACCCCAAATTTTTTTCGAGTTCAGATCAGCCCATAATCTTGAAAGTTTGAGTCCAGCCCAGTTCGAGTCCATGTGGATTGGAATGGAGTATAGACTCGGTTCTGTTGCGGTCTGTTGCGTAAAAGAGATCAACCGTGGTTTACCAGCGATTGGAGAGAGAGTTATATAGTCGTAAAAATAAACTTTTCCGGCAGGGTAAATCTCTCAGCACATCAGTAAACAACAGAAAACGGTATAAAGCAGCGCAGAGGCAGTTCAACGAGGCATGTTGTAAGGCAAAACAAAATCATTTCAAACGAATAAATCAAGTTAGTAGCAGAAGAAATACTGATGGAAACTTGTTAAGCATAACGTTCGCAGAACTAACACAACGGTAATACCTGCGTCGGTGCGTACGATGTTAATGGTAGAGCCCTGCAGGTTAAACCTAACCTAACCTATAGGTTGTTAGGTTTAAAATTTGATGGTGATCATAACCTGCTTGTTGACATCCTTGTTGAAAGTCACTGAGAGAGTAGTTTATAAAAAACTTTATGAACATTTGACAGAAAACAAGTTCCTTTCGGTTTTTCAGTGAGGCGTTCGAAAGAAACACTCCACCACCCACCAATTGGGTAGATTTTGTACAATCCATTTACGAGGTTAGGTGCTAGATAAAGATGTTGAAGGTGTGCTTTTAGGCTTCAAAAAGGCTTTCCACAAGGTATGGCACAATGGACTGTTATACAAACTAAGGAAGAAACGTATTTGTCCTCAGCTAGCTGCGTGGTTTAAAGATTATTTACTTAACATATCACAACAGTGGTTGGCGACAAACGCCCAAAATCTATCCGAATCAATTGTGGCATACCTCTAGGTAGTATACTGGCAGTAAGGGGACACCTCCTATATCCTGATCGGGATATATATCCCGATCAGGATATAGAAAAAAAGTAGTATCCCGATCGAGATATAAAACATGAAATTTCGTCGTAAAAACGATTAAGGGAAAAATGACGACATTTTGGGGTAAAATTGAATTCACCATTCGAAAGAGCTCGAAAAACTACATCGGATTCTCTTGTGTTTGATCAAAAGTGCATCAAGCACCCAGCAATTATTTTTTCAAACAAAAACCTTTAACTAATTTTAGTCGAATTTATATCCCGATCGGGAGATAGGCTGTTAATCTTTTATTGCTCATAATGGGATATACTCTTGATCTAACCGCTTTCCATGTCGACCGTGTTTTCTTATTTCTTCCTTTTCGATGCCCATGTATATTGAAACACAATTCTTTTCTCATGCGTCGACAATATATAAATATACGTGCTTTGTGTTTAACGGAAAATTTTCTAATTATTCGTTCTTGCAGATAAACTGTCTTATGTTCTTTGAGCACACTTCAATTTATCAGACTTAAATTTTGTAACGATTGGACCCGTAACCCGTATGGTGTTTTTGTATTGATGTTTTGGGAGGCATAATTGAATCACGTGAATTATTGATAGTTATAAGAAGACGAAGAAGAAAAGAACAAATGTATGGTAGATGAAACTGTAGTAGTAGTAGTATTACCCAAAATACCAAAAGGTGTAGGATGAAACAAAGAGTGTACAAACACAAAATAAAATAGAAAAAGTGTCTTCTTCGGTAGATAGTTCGTTCGATCCATCTTTGCTATGCCACTTGGATTTGTCAGTGTCTAACCCTCCAGTAACTGGTTTAAGTTAACCACGTCATTGATTTCCATCTAGCATGCCAAGGGATGTGTTTTCATTACTTCTTTCCCATTTCGATATTATTTTTCTTGCACCAATCTCGAGTACAAGATCTCACATGTCCTGTTATTCCTTGTGGTTTAAATTTGTTCATACAGTTTGGACAAGTGTACCAATTGTTGTCATCCTTTACTAAGGCCTCAACAACTTTTCGTGGCGCTTTTCCTTGATCAATTTTCTTCTCCGCAAGCCGTCTCTGGTCAGCTCTCCCTTATACTTTCGCACTATTTGCTCAATGTTTGGTGATTTTCACTTTGGTGTTAATTGTCTCCCTCCAACGATCCCTGTCTTTCACTTCTCTTCTCCAGTTTCTCACATTGCATTTCGCCCGATCGTCGATGACTTTGTCATCCCAGCTTTTCCTAGCCTCAACATCGCCGGGTCTTTTCTCGTTAGGAAAATACGAAAACATAATTTTCTTCACTAAAGCTGCTTCGCCTAGATCGTTTGCCATTCTATTTACATGTCCAAACCATCTGAGGCGGTTTCGTCTCATAATCTCTTCGATGGCTGGCTGTCCTGTAAGATGTAAGATCGTTTGATTTGGTACCCTATCGCCTAAGTTCAGTCCCACTAAAGTTCGTAGACATTTCATGTAAAAAGTGCCGATACGTTTCTCTTGCGCCACGGTTGGACACCACGTTTCGCTGCCGTACAGAAGAACCGGTAGCATGCAACTAAAAATTCTTAATTTGGCATCAATCGAAACGCGCTTTCTATACCAAACTACACTTCGCAACATATTGAAAGCTGTTGTTGCCTTTGTTAATCTTCCCTGTAGTTCCGTTTCCATTTTCTGGTCTTATGAAACTACACGCCCCAAGTATGTAAATTCGTCGGTAGTTTCCAGCTTTTGATTTCGGATTACGATGCTGAGATCAGAGTGGTGAATTTCTTTCTGCTTGTTTATTTTGTCATCTGAATCGACCTCAAATTCCTCCAGGGGCATGACGACAGTCTTTTTCACATTCATTGTAAGTCCATATTTTTGTGTGATTTTCTCAAAGGCCAGAATAAATTTTTCCAAATCTTCCAGAGAGCTGCAAAGTGCCACCAGGTCATCAACATACATCAGTGCCAGAATGCCAAATACTTCGTACCTTTCCCTTTTTCCATGGTAAAAATCAAAACTTCTGTAAGCCAGTTTAATCCCTTCTACGCCTGCTTCTTCCAAAACTTTTCGAATGATGAAATCAAAGAAGATGTTGGAAAGAAGTAGTGACGGTATTTCACCTTGCATCACACCAGTTTCTATGTCGAAACTGTCCGAAAGTTCTCCGTTGATTCTCACTTTCGCTTTACTGTCTTTGTGCATTAGTTTGAGGAGATTTACGATTTTCTCGGTCAGACCATAATGTCTACAGATTTTCCAGAGCAAATCTCGATTCACTGAATCGTACGCCTTTTGAATGTCGATGAAACACATGTGTAATGGTTTGTTATATTGTTTGTATTTTTCCATTACACTTCCTAAAGTGAAAATTTGATCAATTGTTGATCTATTTGCACGAAATCCTGCTTGTTATTCTAACAGCTGCTTATCAACAGTTGCCTGAATACGGTTCAACACCACACGAGAGAATAGTTTACTTGTTACCACTAAGAGAAATATGCCTCGGTAATTGTCACAGATCTTTTTGTCGCCTTTGTTCTTAAAGAGGCAGATCAGAATTGCCAGCGACCAGTCTTTGATCGTCTGTTCGTCTTTCCAAATCTCAACAAACAGTTTGTGAAGCCATCTAAGTACAGGTGTTCCGCCTACCTTCAATAGATCAGCACTAATTTCATCGTTTCCAGGAGCTTTTCCACTCTTCATTTGCTTTAGTGCCGTCTGGACCTCTGTTATTGTAGGTGGTTTCTCTTGCCTCACTTTTCCAGCAGATGGTATGTTTGCAGGTTGTATTGCGTTGATAACCAATGGATCAACCAGAGAATTAACGTTGAGTAATTCACTAAAAAATTCTCTGAATCTTACCAATCTCTCTTTTGCACTATAGCAATTTTCCTTGTCTATCCAAAATCGGCATGTGTTCTATTCGTTGTTTACCATCACGTAGTCGCCGAATCATTGCATAGGCAGTTGCTGGATCGTGCTGCTTGATTGCTGCCTCTATTTCCTGGCTAAGAATGTCCCAGTATTCAGTCTGTCTTTGAGCAGTTTTCGTCTTCACCAAATTTCTCAATCTGACATACTTTTCTTTATATTTCTTTTCCGATGGAGTTCTACGACATTGCACCCAGTTGACGTATGCACCACCTTTCTTGTCGGCCAGTTCAATGATTTCATCAGTTAGCCATTCCTTGCACCTTTTACTGTTGTTACTGTCTAGTTTAAAGTGTGTTGCAGCAGTTTCCTTCAGGATATCCCCAAACTGTCCGTATTTGGAATCAAGGTCTGTGGTTCTACCGTTTAATACATTTAGTTTTTTGGCCAAGTCATTTTGAAATGCTAAAACCTTTGTATCTTCCTTCAATTTTGATCGATCTTCTACACTTAATCTAAACATCTTCTACACTTAATCTAAACTTTTTATAGAAAAAAGTTTAGATGAAACTGTGCGTGATAACGACTTTGTCTTCTATCTTCTATTATATTTTATACTACACTCACATATGAAAGATGTCTAATAGAAGAAATCTATTTACGCCTGTTAAAAAGATATATGTGTCTCTTCGATCAGCCGGAGAAAACAAAAGACACTACCATTTTGCTGCAAAAAATGATATCCCAATCGGGATATGTCTCCACACTGACTGGGTCCTATTTATATTGATGGTATCGGGCATAATCTGACTTCAAAAACACACCTTTTTGCTGATGATATACCACTTTATTATAGTGATAAAAGTTACAATAAGGCCAACTTGACCTTGAACAATGAACTTATGCTTGTTCAATTGTCACCGACAGTAAATTCCGTACTTCTGATCATCTTTCTAGAGGGTGTACAAAATGATAAATCAACGATGAAAATCAAATCAAAATAGTGGTTAGATCAAAGATCACTATGGGCAAATTTGGAGAAGAATAGTTATTATTCTCTTTTTCTTATTCATTAATAAAAAGTAAAAAATACCCATATAGTATTTTCCGTAATATAATTCGCGAAACGTCGAAAGAAGATACAAGTTATTCATATTAAATTAGGATTTTTACTTCCTAAATATGAAATTCAGAGCTGCTGTTAAACTTCTATTACTAATTCTATTTTGACTATGATTATCGAGTTTAAGTGCACATTTTACACTCCCGTTCTTGATCAATTATACAAATCATATATTTTAACAATATTGAACTCTGTAGATGTGATCTATTCATGTACTGCAAAGACAGCTCTGTAGCTATAATGCGGTTGCAGCATAAGGCTGTTCTTCTAGTTATTAGAGCCAGTCACTTATTTAATAGAGAGAGTATTAGAAATATTAGGCTGGCTTGATACACAGAAGCTATACGATATTCACAAAGTAACTTTATTTTGAGAAATATTTAGAGAAGAAGCATCAACATATCTAACTCCCTACATTCAAAGTAGAGAGGTAACCCTATACAATTTACGTAGACTCACAACTTTCAAAAATTTCACCCTCGATTCGGTGACGGCAGCCAGATCTTTCTTTCCATTTACTGTACAGGTTTGGTCAGAACTGCCTCAAAGTCTGAAAGAAACCACAACTAAAACTTTCAAAAAACATTTTTTCATCCATTATTGATGTTATTTTCTGTTTTTCGGGTATACAATAAACATCGACATGTTATACAGTAGGCTTTGCGCAAGTTTTTCTGCTCTAAAAGTTTATTTATACAAAAAATCATTGTCAACAACAGGTTTGTGTGCGTGTGGAAAGACAGAGGCAGTTCAGCATTATCTACTGGAGTGTGTGTTATTCAGTGCTCAAAGAAAAATTCTTATAAAAGAAATCAATAACAAAAAACATTCCTACCCTCAGTCTTAATCTTCTTTTGCTAAATGTATCTTTTTCGAAAGAAGATTTTCTATGTATATATAGCGTGCAATCATAGACTATATTTGTACAACAAAAGGCTTTATAGAAGTGAAATAATGATCTATTGCGAAAGACATGACCGGGCCTATTGCCCGCTTCCATTACCTGTCATTTTCTTTCTCGCTAAATAGACTTTTTTCATTCTCTATGTGTGTATACCTAATCTTCATACATTTAGAATACTAGCAAATAAGGAGATATCTCTTTCCACATAAGATATCTCATGTCCGGATATTCTTTAATCTCAACACGTTGATCGAAAAGAAGGAAAACTCAGAAAGATATGCATATGCACAAAGAGATATCTCCTTACCCAAGACCAATTTCTGTTCACGTACGTTGCCTGTATATATAGTCCATACAGGCACACCGCTTGCATGAGATGGATGCTTTAAATCACGAGAACTTTTTTTTCACTTTCTTTTACAAAGTTCGACTGGTTTTTTAATAACTACCTATTATAAGTAAAAGTTTGTAATAATTGCGTCGTTTTCATGCTTTATTATGCCTGTGTGAAGCCTGAAATGGATAGTGTGAATCAATCATATCTGTATGTAAAAATGGACTGGTCTTGGGATATTTTCTAGTTCTCTGTTATTATTCGACTCTTTTATCGTATCAGATTATTTATTCGTGATTACACTGTATCGAGCGTGTTTCTCTATATCACGATAATAATACGACATGTCTCTCTTTCGATGGTAGAGGAAAAAAATTAAAATATTTCTAAAGTAGCTTATAACAATACTAGTTAATTCTTTTAGGCTAAAATATGATTTATTTAGTAAAAACATAGACAATAGTCAATTTTGTGCATGTGGTAAAAGTGAAACAGTTAAACATTTTTTCCTTGAAGGCTCACACTATCGATATATTTGTCGAAAATTAAACACAGATCGACATATTATTACATCTGATTTACCTTTAACACTAAGTAATATCCTCTTTCTGGACAAATTTGAAAATATTAATAATTCAAAACTTACAAAAACTCAGGTGTCCCGACCAGTGACGTGTGTGTGTGCTCCCCAATCCTGAAAATTTTTCGTTTTGTTTCCATATTGATTGAATTAGATCCCGTTTTCTAAGGTATTCGTCCGTCAGAATTTTTGCTATTTCAAATTTTTTGTGTATTTTAAAATTACCACCATTGTCTACAAGTATGTTTATCGAAGCGAAAAAACATCGTCTGGTTTATTAAATTAATTTTTTGTACACAATTAAAGATTTCTTAAACCAAACTGAACTATTTTGTTGATTTCTTGCATCAGCCAATAAATTTATATACATTGAGTTATATATCGCATGCTCTTTTTCAAGATTAATATATTAATGACATAGCTTCATCGTATTCGTATACACGTCCCAATGTATCAACCTGAATTGAAAAAAATACTTTGAAAAGGATGAATATAACTAACGTATGAAAAGAATTGTATAATTGAAACAGTATCATAGAAAAACGTAAGAAACCTCCCAATTTCAATAATAAAAGACTGAAGTACGAATCAAATATATCCTGATTATCATGAACGTATAAATATCCTTATCAGTTGATTTAAAAATCGATTTGACTTCTTTGATTAATTCTTAATATGAATAAACTAATGAATTTGACGTCTGCTTGAGTGATAAATTTAAATAAATTTCTTCTAATTGTTTTAATGTGTGTTTAAAAAACCGTATGATCGTTTAGATCAAAAAATGACACTAAACATATACTATGATGATAGAGAAACCAAAAGGTGTCAGCAGTATAGGTCACAAACGCAAATAAACTCATCCTTCACAACATTTGTGTGATATGTAGGGGAGTTGAAGACATGGTGTTTTTTCGTTCTAAATTTACATTCTTTCTTTAAACATGATGGATGTGTACGTCGGAATTTTATAAAGTAGTCTGAATTTCTCCTAATGGGAGATGGAGAAGATACATTTGGATTTCAAAACTTTTAGTGTAAACAAGAAAGCGAGAACTTACATCATTCGGTTACAATATTATTACAGATCATTTCTGCATCACCATGTCATAAATTTCAAGTACAATTTGAATATTCTTTATTGATTTTTATTTGTTAACTCAAATTAGGCTAACAGAAATGATTAATTAATATGTATAAATTTTTCATAAAACGCTCTAAAACCGCCAATCTCTCCAGAAATACTAAACAATGTATTGTATGTCGGTTCATTCATTGTATGACTGCCTAGAATAAATAAACAAACGCACAAAAAATAATGAAAAAGTTCTCTGTAGTGTAGAATGACCGTTATACCTTTATTTTTCTCTACTCTCATCCAATTACAATATTTCAGTAATCATGTCATTTTGATTATTCGCTTTTAATAGTAAATTTTGCGGTATGAGACCTCTCGTATTTATCTATTACGAGATATCCATAACTGATCGACGATCATTCCATTTCGAATACATATTGATAAGTGAAAAATCTTCTAATTTTAATTTATTTTTTAATTATCAATTAATTTGTTTCCATCAATTGATGAAATCGTTAACCTTCTCGAATATATGTCAATTGGGTACACATCGTAAATATTATATTGATCCATTGTATTGCATTTTTTTTATGTTAAACCCAATTTAGTGAATGGATTCAATAATGCTTTTGTAGTTTTTCTCATTTTGTTATTGTTAAGAAGATGCAGCGACTTAATAATGATGTATGAAAATAAATGAACTATTGAACCATATTAAAAGATAGTCAATTTATTCTTAATAGAATCGTTCAGAGAATGAGAATCTGAAACAGTGATCTCATTTGATTATCGAACCAAAGCCTGTTTTTGTTT